CCGATACGGGGCTCCACCCTCCGCCGCCAACGTCAGCCGGGAGATGCTGCCAAGCTGCATTTCACACATACTTAGCTACCAGGCTGCACCTTGCAGAGCGTTTGCCCTTCAAAATGTAGACGTTTATGTTTTGAACTGATTCTTTATTTTAACGAGCTCTTGAAAGTCTTGGAGCTGTGCAGGAACCGCCTGACCTGGTGCGATACCACTGCCAGGTGATGGAGGAGGACCCACACCCAGCCCCGCATCCCCATCAGCCCGGCAGAGCAGGGTGGGCGTGAGGGCTTTGCGGCCCCAAGGTGTCCCACATATGCTCTGGGACCACCTGCTCCTCTGTTTTGTTCCCCACCATCCCACAGGCAGCACCTCCAGCCAAGCTCCCTGCTGAGAGCAGGGCGAGAGCCATTGCAGAGACACAGCCCTGCTCCTGTGAAAGGCATGGGCTCTCTTCAAGCCAGCACCTCCTCGTACCTGTGACGAGCCACCCCCAAATTGCCAATTTTGCCCCCCCGGGGGCTGCTGCCTGGCCGTGCGATGAGGCCATGCCACCACAGAGGCAACAACTTGCAGCTCAGTTCTTTGCGGAGAAATAACTCAGAGTATTTTTTGTTTAAACACAGCCCCCAATAGCCATGGGAAGATGTGGTAGCTGTTAGCCAGACTTCTGATAAATGCCTTAGAAAATGCCAGCTCTAAGCATCACCTTCCACAGAAACCCCTTGGGCATCACCCAGCTCTACGCAGAGGCGAGGGAAAGCACAGCCGTGCCAGTAAAGCCCGAGCAGCACGAAGCACTGGCTCCAGCGGAGCATCTCCGGTAAATAATAGCTGGGGACCAGCCCCGGCCGCAGCGAGCCACTGCCCGGTGACAAGGCGGGGGGCCTGAGCGGACCCTGTCCCTTTATGACGCAGGGTTAGAGCGGTAGCAGCTACCCACGGCTTCCCCTCCAGAAAGGGATCCCTCGAGCGTGGGGCTGTTTATACCCCACGGGCCAATTCCATCCCACGTGCATCCCACGAAGGCAGCGGAGCCGAGGGAGCTGCACCGGAGCCAGGGGCTCGCCGAGTGCCCCGACCTTACCAAGGAGCAGCACCGGATTGTTTGTGCAGAGCATTTGGCAACAGGCTCTCCAGTATTAAACGTGAAACACGTTGAACTGACACT